TTTTTTCTCAGCTTAGTCTTTCTTCCTGTTCCATCAATGAGCCACACTCCAGCTCAGTAGGTGGCGGGAATGCACCTTTTTGTTTGTTTGCCAAGCGCCATAAAAAGCCAGAAGAAGATATTTACAGACAGGTGTGTTGAGCGTGTTTGGAATTGAACTCTGCAAGAAGGTAGAGCTCCAGGAACAGGATTGAGAACCCATACTCTTGGAACCTACCATGGAGCTGATTTATTTATTTTTTTTATTTTTCCCGCCTTTTGAATTAGTTTTATGTACCACTGACCATCTGAATGAAGAGGAACACATTTTTATTATGGTAGCAGGTATTCCATGAGAGGCAAAGCTTAGGAAATCATGTTGTAAAATGCATCCAAAATCCCTTCAACTATGCAGCTGATAAGATCCTCCTATAAATATTGAGTGACTCGCCTGATGTAGCATGTAATTTGCACTTGATCATTTGCATCATTCATTTGAGATGTAGGGTTAAAAGTGTTTGATTAAACTTTAAAGTGGTCATTTGTAACTATTTGTAATTTTGACAGTATTGTGCTGAATTCATATTGATTTTTTTTTTTTTTTTTTTTTTTTACAGTTTATGCAACCACATTGATTAAATATGATTTATCATTTGAATTGTATCAGAAAAAAAAAACTTCAAATGTCTGAGCCCTAGTAGATCTCGGGGAAAAGGTAGTGATCTTTGGTTCATGTTAACAGTAGGTGGCGGTAACGCACTGTTAGTTTGCGATCCGCTGTTTAACGAATCAAGAAGAAGAAAGAAGAGGTAACTTCTCTTGTTAATTTTATTCCGGGGTTTAGCTATATTGATGGTGTACTTTTACTGCAGAGATCTATGTTAAGTCCATTCAGCTGAACGAACTACTGAGTTATTAATGCTTCGGCCTTCAAATGCTCGCATAGCTTACTAGCAGGCAAACCGAGAACAAGCTCGATGCTAGTCGATGTCTAAAGTACTTTAGGCTTAAATCATATTATCAGGGGGAAAAAACGACCAGTGTCGGTTGTATTTGCATTCATTTCCTCTATTGCAGTGTATCTGGGGCTCATATAATGCAGGAGCTTGATGAGGCTGTCACAATCGGAGCGACTGTTCCGACGGGATTCGAACACACTGCAGCGGAGGAGGTCCAAGAGAAGCTCGAGGCCACTGCTAGAGTCAGCAAAAACAGAGGGAGAATTTATTTGGATATAACAACAGATAAGCTTTTTAAGGTCAGTCGTCCTCTTGTTTGTTTCACAACATCTGGCATTTTGTAACGACAATGAGGCTCTGAAATCAGCAAGTGTCTTTGCATAGGCTATTAACATTAGTGGCATGGCATATGGTTTTCAGTAACGTGCCACTATGTGTGCTGTGGCGCTTTTTGGTAGTGAATAACACGACGCTGCATTTTCCAGCAGGCACGGACAGAAATCTTTCAATTAAACCCATTTAATGTGTTTTTAATAAATGCATTTTCTTATCTTTAAAGAGTTATGAGTCATTAACAATCCAACCAGCTACGAGGTGAATCACAACCTTACAAACATTTATTGGAAGCAAATAAATAAAAGCTCACAAAAACAGAAAGGTTCAAGACTATGTACTTAACGTCTTTATTGAAGGAACTACAATCCCATTAAACTTTAAAAGCAAAGTGATACAATTTTTAAAAAAATATCAAAAAACAAAACAAAAAGAAGCAGAGCTCTCATTCTATGCAAGTTAAAGTCAGTGATAACATTGGAGCTCATGGAAGATCTGTCTTTACAGTAAAAAGCAATTCCACTGTGGAGAAAATAAATAGGATTTGTGTGTCCGGAACCCGGCAGTTGCACTAAAGCATCTTAAGGTCATAAACATCAAGTCTTTGCAAAAAAAAAAAAAAAAAACCCCACAAATAAATAATGCTGTATTGATGTTTGAAAATGCCTGTGAAGTGTATCAAATGATTAAAAACTCTATAGGCTGACATGTTCCTCCAATAGAATGGAACAAACTGCACGAGACATGGTTTGATCTTTTAACTTGACTTACAATTGTGCTCATGGTAAGGCACCCTAAAAACACATGAGCCATGTGAAAGGCATCAGTCTTGCTCACATTTACATATGTTGTTCGAAAAAATGTGCAAAAATTGAACCTTTTGGAGTGCAGTAGCTTGTCACCTTAAAGGGACAACTTTGTATCTTATCTATACAGTGGAGATCAAAATTAGAGCACAACCTACAATTTCTTAAATTTCAAGGTCCCTGCTTAGTCCTATTTGAAGTTATCCTAACATGAGTAGAAGGGCAGTTTTTTTAAGCATATTTCATAAATTAATTGTATTCTGAAGCACCATATAAAAAACGTAAATGAAATATTTGAAAAAGAACTGATCAAAATTAAAGAACACTTTTTTTACAGATACCTCCAAGTTATTGGTGTTAATCTGGCACCTGGTGCTAATTTCCTTAATTATATGACAAACCCTATTTAACTGGCAGCATTCCTCCAATTTTCACTGTGATTGCAAGATGATGGGCAACTCTAAGGTGATTGAAACCCTGCGGCAGGAGGTTGTTCAGATGAAGGCCAAAGGGATGACCCTTTCAGCCATTGCACGAGAAGTTGGTTGTTACAAATATGTGATTTCTCAAATATTGCAGCTTTACAATGACGCTAATTCATTCAAGTACCCCAAAAAGGCTGGTCATCCACACAAGACGACAAGATGATGTTCAGCGATGAACAGGGTATGGATCTGTCTCTGCATTTTTAAGAGAAGTCGGACTGAAAGCACACTCTGCAGTGACCAAGCCTCTCATTAGCAGCCATAATCAAAAGGCTAAGATCACCTTTGCTTAGGAGCATGCTGTGTTGAAAGGAGAACTGGTAAAAAGTTCACTTTGGGTCTGATGGGGAAACATTTTGTTTGGCATCAAACTGAGGAAAGACTGAAGCTCCAGTGCGTAAAGAAGTTGTAGGAGTGGAGGAGGAAGTGTTGTGCTTTGGGGAATGTTTTCTGCAGCAGGAGTTGGGCTTCTTAAACAGCTACATGGCAGGTGAATGCAAATGTTTACCTAGGGTGACCATACGTGCCATTTTCCCAGGACGCGTCCTGGCCAGGATTTCTATATTGCCTAAAATATCCCAGAACCTCCTTCAGCAGCATGCAGTTCTTTCCCTGCAAGCATCTCCCAAGCAGCCTGCAATTTTCATGCAAGACAATGCTCCCCGTCACACTACAAAACAGGTAAAGCAGTTCCTTGAAGCCAAAAACTTTGAAATAATGAAATGGCCAGCGAGTCTTGATCTAAACCTGATTGAAAATCCTTGGCAACAAAGTTATGGCTAAGAAACCCACTACAGTTACCGAACAATGGAAGAGAGTGGAAGAAGAGTGGACAAAGATTACACAAGTGCAGTGTGAGAAACTAGTGATGTCCTGCGGACGCAGATGTGCCAAAGTAACTCAAAACAAGGGACTCTACACTTCCTACTAATTTCTGACAGCTACAGCCCTCCAAAATTTTAGTTGTAATCTTTCATGCTACAGTGGTTACAGTTCTGTCATTTTGATCACTGTTTTCCACAAAATAAAGGTTTTTATTGAAATGCCTTGGTTATTTTGTCAAACATGTTAGTGGATCAGTGGTATACCTACATCTAATATTCCATCAAATCTTGAGCGATGAAGATTAACAATATTTCAGAAGAAAATCAAGTATTTGTATATCGTTCTCTAATTTTGATCTCCTCTGTATATCAGTATCTTAGTTTAGTTTTTTTATTTTTGTTTTTTTCCCTCTCCCCAGCTTATTTTTAGTAGTTAATTTTGCACTAGGCAGGAAGTTTTGAGTTCTGAAACTTACAGTATGGTTTTATTAGACAATGCACTCTTGTGTTTTGTGAAGAAGTCATTATTGGTTTGAAACAACATGGGTGAATGAAGCAGCACTGTCTGTTTGCCTTCAAATTGTCATGTGATTTTCATATTTATTCGTTTATATCCAAAGGTACATCAGCTGAAGTCTCTAGACAATCTGTTTGTTGTAGTAAAAGATTATGACGACTACCAATTCAAAACCACAAAGGTATGTGCAATAGTGTAGTAATTATTGTCAGTTGTACTGATGCATGTGCTTTTGTTTTGATGTTTTTTTTTTTTTAAATGGGTAGTTTAATTCATAAAACAATGCCTGAAAATGCTTTAAGGTGCCAAACTCGCGTAAATTGATGTCAAACACATGGAACACATCAATTTCGTTCCCAAGAGGCCTCTAGATAACTCGTTCGGGGTAAAAAAAACTATACATATTTCTCAATGACATGCTTTCCAGTCAAACTCCAACAGATTCTATATTATATTCAATATATATCAGATTTACTATAATAATTGTTCAGTGGAGACTTGGAAAAAATAGTTACCTAATATATAATTTTAGCACTGGCAATCATGTATTGTTTAATGCTTATTTAACAGGAGGAAGTGCAATTGGATTGGCAAGAGCTGGCCACCAAGCTGCCTTGGACCAATGCGTTAGAAGTCTGGAAGTTGAACAATTCTATAAAAAAGAGGAAAGGCCGTCAGAAAAGAACTAACCCCACAAAGTCAGATCAGTGCGGCAATTTTAGCACCAAATCTACTGATACTGTCCCATCAGATCCAGAAGAGCTCTGGGTAGATCTTGAGTCTCTAGAAGTGAAGGAGAACCAAAGAGATGTTTCTTCTCAGCCGGAAGATGACTCTGAGGAAGAAAAACACTCTGAAATCCAGGATCAGGAGTCAGGGGTGACACCTCTTAAGTTTCGAGTAACATGCAACAGAGCTGGAGACAAACACTGCTTCACCTCAAATGATGCTGCACGAGACTTTGGAGGAGCTGTGCAAGAATTCTTTCAGTGGAAAGCAGATATGACTAAATTTGATGTTGAGGTAAAGTTTAGGGGCTGTATTCACAAAACATTTGATCTTGTCACTAAGAGTTCTATTAAAAGGCAATAAATGTTCTTAGGTAAAAGTTTCATCTTGAAACCTTTTCACAAAGCTGCTAAGACCAACTTTTACTAAGGAATGGGAAGAAAACGTAAGATAAGAGAAAGGGTGGGGTTGACTTTGTTGCTATGGATGATATCAACAAGCTTAAAGCGATTAGCTACACTGCAATCCAGTGTAGTGTTGTGTAAAGTAATAATAAAGGTTCAGTAAAACAAAGAAAGTGGTTGTGTAATGCTCAAAACATAGAAAGCGTTTGTAACAAATGTGTTTCTCTTATTTACTAGGTTCTGTTAAATATCCACAATAATGAAGTTGTTGTTGGTCTTGCTCTCACAGTGGAGAGTCTACATAGGAGAAACATCTCTCACTTTGGCCCCACCACTCTGCGTTCTACACTGGCTTATGGCATGCTTAGGTGAGCAACATTCATGTGAAGCATTGCTTGCAATCATTACAATAGGGTTGTCACAATGTCATAATTTTACCTCATGGTACTATACCAGATAAAGTTCAATGATACCACTCCTATTGTTTGGAAGTGTCATTATTGCAGGGGCTGCTCTGTTGTATTAATTCTTTAAAGTTTATACAATGATATTATTATTAATATAGCGAATATTAAAATATAATACAAAAATAATATTATTCTGAAAGTACACTAGCGGTCAAAAGTTAGTTTTTGAAAGAAGTCTCTTGTGCTCACCATGGCTGCATTTATTTGATCATATATAGAGTAAAACGGTAATATTGTGAAATACTACATTTTAAAAGATTAAAAAAAATTCAGCAGCTATCACACCAGACCTCAGTGTCACATGATCCTTTAGAAATCATTCTAAAGGCTGGAATATATACTACATGATTTTTGCCCCGATTTCCCCTTGATTTACAGTTTGAATAAGTCGACGCTAGTTGCCGAAAGTCTGAGCCAGTCTGCAGATTTGAGTTGACAGATTTCTTAGAAAATCGCGTTGTGTATGATGGTCACAGACTTCGAGTTTTTTTTTTAGCTTCTGACTGATTCCATCCAGTTGGAGGATATCAAACATGTTTGATATTTTCAGCCGATTTTAGAACACACAATGTTTTCAATTGTCACACGTCGCCTAGCAACAAGGTGCACGTTTATGCTTGAGTTCATTGTGATCGGAACAACTTTAAAATCTGGTAGTGTGTGATCCTCACTCGTTTAGTGTATGATGGCCAGTTTTTCCTCGGTGACTATTACAAAGTTGGTAAGTGTATGATGCCCAGTTTTTAAAAAATATGTTCAGATTTTAAAAGTCGTGTAGTGTATTCCAGCCTTAATTCATTTTTTAGGTTTCTTTGATGAATAGAAAGTTGAAAAGTATAACATTTATTTAAAATATGAATCTTTTATAACATTTTAAATATCTTTACTGTCACTTTTGATCAGTTTAATGCAACATTGTTCAAAAACGTTTTTAGTGATTAAATCCCCAAACTTTTGAATGGTTTCAAAGTTTCCACAAAAATATTAAGAAGCACAACTATGGATCCAATCACCTTGGATAATAAGAAATGTTTCTTGAGCAGCAAATCAGCATATTAGAATGATTTCTGAATGATCGTGTGACACTGAAGACTGGAATACTATTAGGACATAGGACATAGTACAGTTTGCATATATATAAAGCTATTAAGAGAAGCACCATGGCTGTAATCACCACAAATGTTGACAAAACAGATTCTTCTCCTAGATGAACGAGAGTCATTCACATACTGAACTGAATGTGCAAACCACTCTCAAAATGTAGACTATTGTAGTGATATTTGTATATTTTTCATACATGTGTACCTGTAATGTTTATAGATTGAAGGAAATGCAAGAAAGAAAACTAACAAACAATTATGTCTATGACCGTATTGATTGTTTTTTTATCATATTTCAGACTTTGCAAGCCACAAGTGTCAGATGTGATTGTAGATCCCATGTGTGGAACTGGAGCAATACCTTTAGAGGTTTGTGAAATTAATTGAACTGCTAAATTTTCAGTCTGTATATTTCTGTCCTAAGAGGTGAATTGTTAACCTTTTTTTTTTTTTTTTTACAGGGAGTTATGGAATGGCAGAATTCATTCTTTTTAGCTGGAGACAACAATGGCACAGCAGTCAGCCGATCAGTCAATAATATCAAGCACATTCTAAAGAGAACACATGATAGAGGAAGGTAAGGAAGCTTTGATTGTGTCCTGTCAATCTTTTACTATTACTTAGCACTATTTATATACTATATTAATATTTATATTTTGAATTCAATTATTTTTAGATATTCAGGTTTCTTTTTAAAAATTTTGCATGTTCATTTTATGTGCTTTTGTCATTTTTATAAATGTATATATATATATATTTCTTTAGTGTTTTTTTTATTTTATTTATTTTTTGTTTTAGTAATTTTATTACTTCAACCTAAACTTTTGAATGAAGTAACTTATATTTCAGTTAGTTGTCAACATTTTTTATTTCCTATTTTTTCATTAAAATGTACTACAAGGGGGGAAAAAAACATTGCCAGATATTAACAATGCACAGATATATACACAATATACCATTTTGTATTTATTTTTTGCTCCCTGTTCAAATGTTCTCAGTGTTTCATGTTGTATTTGTAGCTCTTCAGGCTTGCCCTTAGACGTAGTTCAGTGGGACTTGTGCAATCTACCCATGAGAAGCAGTTCAGTGGATATCATCATTACTGACATGCCTTTTGGAAAAAGGTACTGACAGACATCTGGAGATATACAATTTTAGAACTATTCCAGTTTATTATTGCAATTAATCCTATTACATTATCGTTATATTAATTATTCATTGTATTTTAAATTATTTGTGGTGTGTGTGTGTGTGTGTATGTTAAAGAATGGGATCCAAGAAGAAGAACTGGGAATTATACCCTTTATGTCTTCGAGAAATGGCTCGAGTTTGTAAACCTGGTACAGCAAAAGCTGTACTGTTGACCCAAGATAAAAAATGTTTCTTGAAGGTATGGCTACTATGAGTTCTTAATCATAGTTCATGATGTGGTTTATTAAAAGCATTTTGGAATGAAAATACAATGATTATTAAATAGTTTTCATGGGACTGGATCTTTTTTTTTAAAGTTTAAGCGTATTTTGAATCTCATGTAATCCTTGTTGTGTTTAATGCAGAAAGTCCATTTCTCCTCATAATGTCCTACTTAAAGGAACACTCCACTATTTTTGAAAATAGGCTAATTTTCCAACTCCCCTAGAGTTAAACAGTTGAGTTTTACCGTTTTCGAATCCATTCAGCCGATCTCCGGGTCTGGCGTAGCACTTTTAGCTGTAGCTTAGCATAGATCATTGAATCTGATTAGACCGTTAGCATCTCGCTCAAAAATGACCAAAGAGTTTCGATATTTTTCCTATTTAAAATATGACTCTTCTGTAGTTACATCGTGTACTAAGACCTAGAAAATCTCAACTTTTCATTTTCCGTCAGTCTTAGTACACGATGTAACTACAGAAGAGTCAAGTTTTAAATAGGAAAAATATCGAAACTCTTTGGTCATTTTTGAGCGAGATGCTAACGGTCTAATCAGATTCAATGATCTATGCTAAGCTACAGCTAAAAGTGCTACCGCCAGACCCGGAGATCGGCTGAATGGATTCGAAAACGGTAAAACTCAACTGTTTAACTCTAGGGGAGTTGGAAAATTAGCCTATTTTCAAAAATAGTGGAGTGTTCCTTTAATACTTTAACCATCTTTTGCAGGCATTGTCGCAGATGGAGGGGCTGTGGCGGAAATCGCACACTGTTTGGGTGAATGTGGGGGGACTGCATGCTGGTGTTTTTGTTCTCAAAAGAACGGCAGTAGTTTTTGGCACCACTTCTGAAGATGTAATGGAGCCTCATACAGCAACAGGATCACAAAAGGAGAATAGAAAGGACGCTAGTCAATGAGAAGCCTGACAGACAAATTAGCAAATGTCTTTGTGATCCTCCTTTTTTTCCTGAAGTTAAAATGCCAGAATTAGTCTTTTCTGTCTTTTTTTATTTTTTATTTTTTTGGAATAGAACAGAGAATAGAAAGGACGCTAGTCAATGAGAAGCCTGACAGACAAATTAGCAAATGTCTTTGTGTTCCTCCTTTTTTTCCTGAAGTTAAAATGCCAGAATTAGTCTTTTCTGTCTTTTTTTATTTTTTATTTTTTTGGATTTTTTAAGTCATAATCTTGGCCTATCCTTATTCCAAGAAAATAAAATGTTCAAATGTTAACGTTTTGTTTGAGGTGTGATTTATTTCTTTGTGAAAAGACAATTACTAAGTGAAACTGCAAATCATTTGTTCCCTCTGCATTGGACCTGCCATATTTGTCTTTATTGCTTTAAATGCCAAAGTGATGTTTTACATAATACATTTCTATTTTAGCATAATTGGTTTTAGTAGGAATGTGCACGGTGGTGTGATTTAAACAGATAGTCAATGGTAAGTGAAATAAGTAATAATAAGTCTAAGCAATAGAACCATAAAGACATTTTATTAATGATAATGTGAAAGCTTTTTCAGATCAAGACCATTTATTCCCATCCTTTGAAAAACATCAAATGACAAAAGGATATCACTGGGAAACACTTACACCAATTCAAATGCACTTGATTAATTGTTCAAGTGAAATATACCTTTATCAAACTAAGTGTGGTTGGCCAGGGCAAGGATGCATTTGAATGTTATTTCATTTAGTAAATGACTTGTGAAGCATCATAAATGCCACATCTAGTGGGTGTCAGTTTTTTCTTGAAGAAAATGTTGCGCACATTATCTGGGTTGTTTTAGCACCTGCTTTACTAAATAATTATGCATTGTTCTGCATAGGCCTATTTGATGTGTTTTCTCTTTAGAGAATGTTTCACTAAAAGACTGCACTGTCACAATCAAATGTAGCTGTGAGAAATGATCCCCATATGTAATGTACATAACGCATGTAAAACATTAAGGTATAATTTATATCATAATCAGTTTTAAAACTATGATTACATTCAAGCCTTGCTTTTTCTCTTTGCTGAGAAAAAGCTCTTCATCTAGCTTTCCACTGTTCTGCATGCGTGCAGGATTTCGTGTTATTTCTGTGGCAAGAATGACAAAGATTTGTGTAGCAGAAACCTAATGCACCTAACTGAGTTAGCCTAACCAAGAGAGAGATTATATGTAAAAGTATCTTAAATGAATGTCTTGCAGTAAACTGGCTAGCAGTAATGCACATTAGCATGTTAAGTATGCTTGCTTTAATTACTATACATTATGTAACATATGGTGCAATGATCACTTCACTGTCATTTGCAACCACTGGTTTTGGAGTAAAGGAAAACAACTACTTAAACCAGTCTAAGCTGGTTTGCTTGTCTCAGTTGGTTTTCCAGCCTGGTCAGGCTAGAAGACCAGATTAAGCCAGCTAAAACCAGCAACCCAGTTTAAGCTAGGGTTTTCCAGCAGGGTTCTTCACCTACACCAGTCCAAGCCAAGCTCCATTTAAATCCTCAACAGAAACTCTTCTAAATTCTAAAACTCAATAGAACATCAAACACTAACATGTCCCCTTTTTTCATCTTGCTCAAAATACATAAACTAACACTCAATGCTGTTTTCAGTTAATGCCAATTAGATAATTTTATCCCAATGGATAAAGTTTATTTTCAGTGCACTCAGCGAAATAACTGAATTGTTAGCTCCTTTTAATTAAATAAATGGAACCAAAAACTGTTCATCTTCAAGGAGAGTGAGTTCAATTTATATTTGTTTTCCCTTTTTTTCTTATTTTTCTGAATTTAATCGAATTGAGGATCTTGAAAAATGTGTTTCTTCTTCTTCTTGAAATTTTATTGGCGGTTGACAAACAACAAAATGGTGTATTTCCAGCCACCAACTGGTATGGAGTGTGGATCAAAAAGTGACTTCCTTCCCGCCCCCTCCTTTTTTTTTTAATTCTCTCCCACAAATTAGTTATTTTAAGGAACTGAAAAATAAAACTATAGCATTCACTCCATGAATTAAAATATATCTCGGTGTAAATTGCATTTTTTTTTTTCTTCTAAATTTTGCATTAGAATCCTTCTTTTAGTCTCATATTTCTGACAGTACAATATAACGTTCCACTGTTGAAAAATGTGTTTGGTATGACGTAAGCCTTATACCGGCCTATCAGGATCGGGCATTCATATGTGAAGGGCGGAGCTTTCATGAGCTGCTGCTACAGGGACACCAAGATGGAAATCCAGGGGCTTACTGACACCAAAAACACTCAGTACCAACATGGCGTTCCGCTCCACACGACATTCTCTCAGCAGACCACAGCTTCTGGGATTCATGCGAGAACACGTCTGACTGAAAATGCGATCTCGGGTCTTTCGGGATCGCTGGGCTTAGAAAGTGACGCCAACAACAACTGGGCCAGATCCTCGCCGCTTCGAGTTGCGGAAAATGGCAGCGGCTGCGCTCTGCCTCTTCAAAACAACCATGATAACAAATATGATATTCAGTCCGCAGATGCAGAACTCGGTGACGTGAATGCGTACAAACAAAAGGTGTTTAATGAATTAGACTTGCTGCCTTCCGAGTTTGAGAGGGCAGATGAACATGACAACCATCTGCAAATGGCGCTTCCCCTTCTGGACACCGAGTGCTGTGAACAAAGACACACGACAGAGAGGATTCTCTGCAACACCTCCACCTCTTCGAACAAGAGCCCAGATGAACTATACGTGGTTTTTAACATAGTGCACAAAGAAGATGACAGTAAGGAACAACAAACGAGCTTTCAATACAGAGCTGAAGAGAATGGATCGTCAACACCCAAGTCAAAGATTCTCAGTTCCCCAGTAGATTCAGATGAAAGCTTCAACAGAACATCCAAATCGGGACATTTGTCAAGCCACAGTAATTTAAATTCCAGATTTGAGACAACAGACCAAAATGTTAGACATGAGATCTGTCTTGTGGCAGAGAATAGAGATCCAATATTATCATACGACTATGCTGGGAGCAGTCAAACGCCAAAGGTCTCAACTGTAGAAATGTTCTGCAATAATTTAGTTGAACATTCAACAGAAGAATTGATGCAGTGTGTCACGAAAAATAATGGCCCTGCATTTGGTCCAGAGAACAGGGTTGCAACTGAAATGGCTGAAATGAATATCATGGATTACGCAAATCAAGAGTCCAGCAGTAATGGGGACTGTGGTCCTGATGGGACTCCAATGCATGTGCACGAAACGTTCTCTGGGACCATCATGATTAACAATCAGAGTATCATTGTGACTATTGAAAATGGAATATTGACCCTAGCCACCCCACCAGAGGGCTATGCTTACAAGGAGGATGGTATGATAAGCTTAAAAGAACATTTGGGAATGAAAGACAATGAAGATTTTGTGCTGCTCAATTATGATGGGGGAAGTAAATCCATTGGGAAAATTAGCAATGTTACCTCGAGTCTACATGATGAGCCAAAAGCCAGATTTGCTGGCAGTGATTCAGAGTTGACTCTAGCTGATGACTGTTCGCTATCAGAAATGGGTGTTACTCTGGATTCTTGCTCATCAATTAAGCAAGAAGAAGGAACTGTTTGTGGTGTAGAAGATGATGGTAGTATTTGCCAAAATTCGAAAAGCAAATCAATTACTTGTGAAGAACAACAGCCAATAAACTTATTAACTTTGTCGGGTTTGACGAAGAAAGGTTCAGTAGTAAAGTATAGATGTCCCCAACCAGGCTGTTCCAGCACATTTGATACCCGGCAAAATCTCAAAATCCACTTGGTTCTACACGCAGAGGACCAGCGTCCCTTCAAGTGCACAGTGGAGGGCTGTGATTGGTCCTTCACAACGTCATACAAACTGAAACGCCACCTGCAGTCTCATGACAAAGTGCGGCCTTATAAATGTGAGTGGGAAAACTGTGGTCGCCGCTTCACCACAGTCTACAATCTAAAAGCTCATGTTAAAGCACATGACCAGGAAAATGCATTTATCTGTGAAGTATGCAGTGAGAGGTTTCGCACCGCCACGAGACTCACTAATCATCAAAGAACACACTTTGAACCAGAGAGACCACATAAGTGTGAGTTCCCAGGTGAGTTAATTTGATATCTTAACCAATTCCCAAGCCAAAGTTGACAATATTGCAGATAGTAATACCAACCTGATAGTGGTGTTTCTGTGCATCCTCAGGATGTGAGAAGACCTTCATCACTTTCAGCGCCCTGTTCTCCCACAACAGAACCCACTTTAGAGAAATGGCTCAGTTCACCTGCACCTATCCTGGCTGTGACAAGCGATATGACAAGGCCTGTCGGCTCAAAATACACCTCCGTAGTCACACAGGTGAACAAATGAGCGGATACTTGGAATAAAGCAATATTACTTCAGTTTTCTAACATTGCCCTCTCATTTTTTCCTCCCAGGTGAAAGACCGTTTGTTTGCGATTCTGATTCCTGCGGTTGGACCTTTACAAGCATGTCCAAATTACTCCGGCACAAACGGTAAGAAGCAGAGGTTTGACCCTCTTATACCCACACATGCATGTACGTTCACTGTGTATCCTATTACTCCATTCCTACAAGTTTTTTGTAGTTATTATTAATAATATTGTTTAATGAAAATGCTTTTACAAGTTTCATCATTATTAATAAATAGTAAATAGGCTTAAAAATAATCACACTTTAAAATACTGAAACTTATAGACCCTTCAATGCAAGGTGCCCACCACAATATAGGTACAGTAACATTGTGCACTGAATATTTTACATTTTGTCATTTCAAGTGACAATGACATGAACAGCACTCTGTTCATATAGCCAGCAGTGCTTGGGGCGACCCGAGTTCAAGTCCCATCTTGTGGTCCTTTCCTTGTCCCTTTCTCCTCCCCTATTGCTTCCCGTCTCTTTCTATTGTTCTCTCAAAATAAAGGCAAAAAAGACCAAAAATATAACTTAATTTTAATTTCAGATTACATATTGTTTAAA